GAGCCAGGGTGGAAAGGGGAGAGGGAGCAGCAGCCACAGAGCATTTTTTTCCTTTTGCCTTTTTACCCTTGTCTCCCCCCGGCACAACTGGGAAACTGGGGACCTTTCTCATCTGATAAGGTTACCTCCAAAATGAAAGCATCAACCAGGCAAACAAACGGACTCAGTCTCAGAGGCAATTTAAAAGGCAGCAGTGAAATTGCTGCAGAAATGAACTGGGCCTGCAAGGCTGCCAAATGGGAAGACGGGAGCTTTCCAGAGAGGAAACCCCAAAGGGATTTTGAATAGGCAACAGAAGAGCATCCAGTGTGATTCCCCACAGAGAAATGCCCCCCTCGGAAAGGTCTGCTTTGGATGCAGGGCTGGGGAAGCAGTACCACCGTTCCAGGGGAATCCAGGATTCCCTTTTCCTATGCAGTCCTTCGGTCATCCTTTGGTTTCACAAAAGGGGGTACAAAGATTACAGCGGATCCGAGTTTACTGCTCGGGGCAACCCTAGGCTCCCTGCAGCCCGCTTTCTCTTCCCTCCTCACCTTCCCATCTTGGAAACAGGATGAACGAGCAGCATCTCCCTAACGCCGTGGCAGCAGGAGACACATCTGTTAGCACATGCAGGATGGCTGGAGGCCGCCTGCTCTGCTCCCCAACAGCCTCCCCAGCTGCAAAACAGCATCGTGGTGGCACCAGACAGCTCAGCTGCCTCCACCAAGGGGAAAACCCCCCTGCTCTCTCAAGGGGAGGAATCATGAGTTTGCTGGAGCTCGGAGGGCAAACACTGGGCCTGGAAGTGCCTTTGTGGAAAGGGAGCCAAGCGCAGGCTGGTTCAGACTCACGTCCTCAGGCTGCAGGAGCGTGTCCGAGTTATCCGGTGGGACCTGCTGCATGGAACAGCTCAGGGAACCTCACCCCACAGCTGCACGGCAGGGCCACGCTGCCTTGGGCCTGAATATCTTACCCTAAAAAAAAACTACTTCATTTGATGTACAATTCCTCATCAGGCTCACGGTTAAAAACGTGCTGCCTATTTATGTGTCAGCACCGAGGAGCTCCTTCCAAACCTCTGGCATTTCCTTAAAACACACACGGCGACAGACGCAAGCCCAGCAGACAAACGTCACCCCCTCCCGGTCACCCCAGCAGCAGGGACAGGCCAGGCTGTCCCGGGGACACAGGGCACTCCAGCCTGGAAGCCTGCATTAACCAGGGGGCTGCAACCACTTGCCCTGCAACACCCCAACGTGTCCCTGGCGCCTTCCCGGCCTGCCTGGAGAGGGGCAAGTCTCTCCCGCTGCTATCACACACCAGCACTGCTGCGAAGAGCCACAAGGAGAAGGTGACATCAGCACAACCCTCTGCTGGGACGATGGCAACGAAAGAGTCTGGTGCCCAGATGTGAAAGTCTCGTGTTGTCCCGGATGGGACTCGGCTCCCCCAGTTTTAGGCCGCTGATGCGAGATGTCCCACCCAAGTTGGTCTCTTGCCACGGTTTGTGCAAGGGCTCGGCATAAAACAGGCATCCCAAGGAGGACCTGCTGGAATCCAGGTGCTCTGGGCTTTGGGGATGTACAGAAATCAGTTGGCCAAAATCTGGTGACCTGGTGCTGAGGTCACCCCACTTCCCTGCAAGCTTCGAGGTGGAAAATCGTACGCTCCTAACTAGATCAGATATAGCCTGGGCCTTAGCTGCAGGGACCTGAGGGTGTTGGGGACACCCAGCAATAAGCTCTGTGGCCTTGAATCCTGCCCTGGTTAGTTATCACAGGGAAAAGGAGGGAACAACTTGCACGAAGATCCAGGGATAGCACAGCCTGCTGCTTGCAGAGGGCAGCACCACAGCCCAGCCGGGACTGAGCCAAACCCAGGCTTGCTGCAACACTCCCAGGCTTAACCAGCCAGGCTTAACCAGCCAGGCTTAACCACCACGCAGCCGCCCTGCGCTCCGTGCAGCAGCACCCGGCGCCTCCGTACGGAGACGGGGAAGGAACGTGGGCCGGGGCAAGGGCAGTTTGTGGCAGTGACTTACGATGGGCTGTAGCTGCGCGCCCGGGAGCATGAACTGCATCTGCTGCGCGAACATCGCGGCCGCCGTCTTCTGCTGGATCAGGTTGTTGCGTCCGTTTATCTCCAGCTGCGTTTTTAAGTGCGGGGGAGGATGAAGGTATTTGCAGTTCTCTCGGGTACACCGGCCCTAGAAAAACCACCACCAACAACAAACAACCAGTTAATAAATAATGAAATGGCATTTCAGCAAACGTAACTCGCAGGGCGGCCAGAAAAACATAATTAAGGATTGTTTGGGTTACTGTAACACCACAGTCAGCAAGGCGGAGGCATTTCGGTAGCTCCTGCGCCTCTTTTGTGATTTTTCTATAGCAGTGCAATACTTACGTGAAGAGAAAACATGACCTCTCCTGCCCCACACGGACTGAACTCCATCGGACCGAACCCCCAAAGCCAGGCTTGCCGAGGAGGACAGGATTGCTGCTGAAACCAGCACCCAGCACAAGGCACAGTGTTCTAAGAAGGCAGCGAGCGGCTCTGAGGAGGGACCGTGACCTGTGGCGCGCGCTGGCCAAGGCGCCGACGAGCGCTGGGGCCCGGGGAACACTCCAATGAGGGGGTCATCCCTGCTGGCTGCTTTCTGCTTTCCTTTTCAAACAAACGGGAAGGGTTTGGGAAAGTCTGGGAGTCAATAATGCCCAGGCAGAAGATCCCAGATCTCGCAGATCCCCTCAAACTGACCAAGACAACCACTTCTAAACACCATGGATGAACTATTCCTCGCTTTAATGGTGCTGGCAGCCAATCCGTGGGAGGATAATCACCAGGATTCTGCCGAAAATGAAACGGGTAACAAGTTTTGTGACTACTAAGATTAAGTAACTCTTTTTAAAAAGTCTGTCTGGCTGCGTTCACTTTTCAAGAAACAGAGGCATAAAGAGACCTGGCTTCTTAGCAAACTCCTGGCTCCCCCCGTTATTTAATTAAATGCCAGAACTAAGGGGCTAAGTCTGCATGGGCAGGAGCCCCAGCCACGCAGCTCTTCAAGGCGGCTTCAGACAGTGCCACGTTCGGCTTCCCAAACGGAGCTGTTCCCTGGGAACCGGTGCCGGCTGCGCGGGAAGGCGCAGCCTCTGCGGCCGCGCAGGACCAGGCTGTCCCGTTGGCACCGCTTGGGACCAAGCGGAGACCAGCCCTGGGGCTCGGAGCACGGCTGAAGTGACAGTCCCCGCGTGTCACCTCCCCAGGGCTGCCCTGCGGCTCCTCTGCTCCGCTCCCGCCTTCCAGGGCCCAGGCGTCAGCCCTCGGAATTCTTCCTGGCCGAGACTTGGCACAAGGGCCTTGAGTCGGGAAAACACTCATTCCTACCAAGTTTAGAATAAACGCTGTGGAGATGTTTTCACTCTGCAGGAATGGAGAAGATGGAAAAAAAAGCAGCGCAGTCACTTTTGCAAAGGGTCCTCCCAGGGCCCACCTCAGCTCGGGAAGGACTTGCCGGTTGCAGCCGAAACGCTGCACGTCCCCGGCACCGGCCGCCCCAGCTGGGGCCGAAGCTGTTCTGCTTTTTTGTTCCTCGCAACAGAGCCGATTTAATTTCAACAGGGGGTTCTCAAAGTAGAATGTTTTTATTACCAACAAAACCACATAAAGCGCGAGGCCCTGCTCCTGCAGGAAGCAGGGAGCAGATTGCTGTGGCCCTCGTGCAGTGCTACCGGTGAGGATACGTTTGCAGGCCACGAGCTCTGCACAGGGGCTGCTGCAGGGGCCATTCCGGCCTCCTATTGCTCCCGTT